CCAAGCGCAGTCTTTTTCCAAAATTTAAACAAAGAATCCACCACCTTAACCTTCCCTTGAACTTGCAAGAAGAAGAAAGAACAAAAGAAAACCAACCAAAGAAAATAATGGATGTAACATAAAGGATAAATAATAGATAAGATAATGTACCAAAAAAATTTAACAAAAAAGGATATAGAGATACACCCATGAGTAGAAGTGGTCACGGTGCCATAATACGAAAAGATAATAACGTATAAAGCATCCGTTAAGCTGAGGTAATCTAATTTCAGAGCCACCCAGCCAAACAAGAAAGAACCGGCAAGGCAACAACACCAATGACAGAGCCCATAATCATAGGAAAATCCAAAACAGGAACAACTCCAGCTCCAGCACCAATAACCAAACCGGAAGAAACTAGATAAAGGTTGATGAAGATAGCAATTAAATCAGGGTTAATAGTGCTTAGGAAGATAATCCTACCACAACATCATGATTAAAACCTCAATGCCGCTCAGTTCTAATCTCATAAATGTACAAGCATAAGAAGAAGCAACATAATTAAGGTACATAAAGCATTTGCAGCCAATAGGCCATGACAACTAAGTAGGCAGCATACATCAACTTCCACAACCCAGAAAATAGCCAGCACGTATAAGAAGACATAGGATAGCAACTGAAACCAACCTAAAAGAAAACCACATAAAGGCGACACCCCAAAATCCAGCTAACAACAGGACCCAAAAAAAAAAAAAAACCAGCTGGTACAACCTGTCCAACACCCCTTGAACAACAAGCAAAATGTGTAAATCTTAGAAGATACATAATTTCTATTCATATTAAGAATTTGCACCAAATTTTATTATTGGTTTCTCTACTTACTAAAAATTCTCATATGGCTTAAGCCTTAAAACATACAAGATTTTTATTTAATCATCTAAAAAAAATGGAAGGTAAAAGCATCATAAGATCTTTATCAACAAAAAATCAATGTCATTATATTCCAATTATGGGGGCCAATATATTATTACTAATTTAAACAAGAGAATATTTTTTGCGTATATATATATATATATATATATAAGCAAGATTTGATTAGTCTTAGCAGGAAAGCATTACGGGGAGGTCCAAAAGAGCCACAACATAAGAAAAATAAAAAACAAGGATTTGAGGCTAATTGATAGGGGAAATTTTTTCCATTATGATTTTAACTTATTTATTTTAATATTTATCATTCACCATTTTACCAAGAATTACTTTTTGACTTAAATCAAATTTAGATCAAGCTAAATAAGTTGAGGGAAAAGCCAAATTTTGACTCGAATTAAGGTCTATTTGTGGCTGCAGCTTTTTATAAAGGTGTTTATAAAATTAGGGGTGTCTATATTTCACATGACCTGAAAAATAGACTCGAACCTAACTCAAAAATTTTTGGGCTAAGGGCAACCCATTTGTGAAACGAGTTTTGTTCGGGTTCAACAAATTGACCCGTTTGAAAAAATCGGGTATTGTTGGGGTTGACCCAAAGACCCGAAAATGACTCGAAAACCTGTCTGCCCATGTCTGTTGTCCGCGCTGCACGTAACATCTCTTCGCGGGAGTCACCGGTCTTGTCGTCGCTATTGCTGCTCTCGCGTTTGTCGTCGCTGCCGCGCCCTGGCAGCGCTGTAGTGCCGCTGCGACGTTGCCTAGCCGCTATTGCTACTATGCCGGCCTTTACCAAGTCCTCGGGTCTGCTCAGGTTAACCCTGAGACGTGTGTGGGTCGGGTCAGGGTTGGAATAACTGACTCGTTTGTAAAAACGGACCAGGTTAGGGTCAGGTAACCAGTACTAGGTCAGCTCCGGATTCGACCCTAACTTGACCTGTGACCCGATTTTGACAACCCTATATAAAACTGTTATAAAAAATAACTTTTTTGAAGGCTGATGTAAAAAGCTGCTATCTAGCATAAAAACTTCTTAAAGCGTAGAAAAAACTGTCAAATAGAAATTGTGGTTGGGATTTGAAAATCGATGCGGGATTTGAAAATCTATATAGTAAGAAAGTCATATCAAACAAATCCTTAGCCATTGAGCTAATTTTAAGTTAAGGGTTTTCAATCGAATTGCCTAGGCATTGAATTAAAATATAAATAATATGCATTGAGGCTACTTTTGGTTAGACTTTCTTACTGCTTCTTAAAGTAGTTTTTTAGTAGAAAAAATTTATTTTTTTAATTAGAAAACTGTTTTAAGAAGCAGTATGAAAGCCGTCCCAAACAAAATCTGAATCAGCTCAAAATCAAATTATTCACAACTTTTCCGCATCAAAATTCGTGCTCAACTACAGTTTTGTAAAAGTAGTTCAGTAATTGCATAATTATTATAGAAATGTATGTTTTAATGTTTGATATTATTAAATTTTTAAATAATTTTTTTTAAGATAATATATATAATTATCAAAATTCATTTTTATTCATAAAATTTAAAGGGGATTTATAAAAAATATATAGTCAAATAAAATAAAATTGTGATAATTTTCTTCAAAACAAAATAATTAAAAATTGTGTCTAATTAAAGTCCTTGTCGGCACGTATTTGCCTCGGTTTATGGGCAATATTAACATATGATCTGTATTTTTGCAATAGTACCCATCCCATCGCTCATATGGGCGTCATTAGCGTTGATAAATATGATTATGAGCAATAATAACATATGATCCTTATCTTGCTTGATAGCTACACTATAACATAAATATTTAATTAATAAATACTTTCGTAATTGGGGCAGTTTGGCCTGCTTAAAAAAGTTTTGATGTGTAAAAATAATACAAAGTATTTAAAGTTTTTAATTTTTTTTTAATTTGAAGTTAATTTGAAGTTAATGAATGCAATATAAAATTTAAAGATACTGATACTTCGTGGCCGAAAAACGATAGGTGATTGTGATGATCTGTAGTGATGGCCGGTGATAGCCACTGACGGCTATTATAGTCAACACCTCCGCAGTGATTGAGAGTAGCAAGTGATGCTTGGTCGACAATGGTGGTCAGCAACAGAGGTTGTGGTTGTTGAAGATTTACGATGACAATAGCAGAGATTTTGTAATAAATTTAGTAATTGACTAAATCTAATGATTTTTATTGCACCTAGATTGAATTAAACGGTGTATTCAAATACTTTGAAATTTATATAAGCAAAAAAAATTGGAAGATTAATCACCATTCCATAATTGGTCGTATTGTTAGCATTATTAGTATAACAAAACATTCATGTTATTTCTAAAGATCAAACTTATTAAATATAAGAATTTTATTTCAAATATAATTTTTTATTAAATTAAGATACAAATAACATATTTTGATCAAATATATGTTGTTTGATTAGAAGAAAAAATTATTAAAAATAATATCTAAATATGTTTTATATTATAATTCGTCCCCAACTATAAGGCCTAAATATGTTTGATATGAATTCAACAATTTACTATATGGGTTAAAATTTAGATCTAATTCAAGCATCACTTAAATATGTCAGTACCACATCCAACCCTTTTGACTTGTTACTATATCGGTCATATGTGTGTGTGCGCGCGCGTTTGTGCGGGCTTGTGCATGCACATGTCTATCAACATGGCACATTTAACGCAAATGTGATTTGTTTAATTCAAACATTAATGACAATAGGGTCAATTTTATATTTTCAAGTCAATCTAAACCTAACTTTGGGTCACATTCCTAGACCCAAACCTGACATGAATAATAAACAGATGAACTAAAACCCATTACGGGCAGACCTCTGCCGATGATTGCAAGACATGGATTAATTGATGATTAGCTGTGAACTTACCTTTTCTCCATTTTGCGACATGCATGTGTCACATCCTCCCCATTTTGATGAAAAATCAATTTATGTTATAATACCAATCCCAAATTGAGATCGAAGTGGCCATGATAGCTGCTGTGGAAATCAACAAGTTATAGTCAGGAATGGACATGCAATTCTAATCATCAATACTAGTCAAATTATGTATAACCTTTTATATGTAAAATTTTAAATTACCGACAACTCATGTTCCATTTCCTTTGATGGAAATGGCTATCTTGTTAAGGAAAAGAAGACCATACAAATGATGATCTCAATATCTTATTGTGGCTTGATTTATCTTGCTCGGGTTTCACTCTACATCCAATTAGAATATCAATCATACCACTCTCATCTCCATTAATAATGAAGCTAATGTGCATTGTTGACATTTATATTGTTGCAAGTCATCACAATAAAATTATTGCCCATCATCATCTCAAACATCAATATATGTTATTACAAATAAGATCGTCACTCATCATTACTGTCAATGCTAATACCTACAAATGATGTTTATATCGACATCATACATGGACAGTAAGGTTTATCTTCATTTTATTGGTCTCTAATCTCTCTTTGTATAAGAAGAATGACCAAACATAACACAAATATTCTCTTGAAGACAACTCTAATACCTCATGATATCTTCAACTTCCATCATGGAAGCCATCCTTCATAATTAATGTATACTAAAATTTAAGGGAACGAAGATAATCCTATAATGTTGGATGGTTGACTTCATATACAAACAGTTATAATGCCTCGAGAGAGCACATAGACCACAGGCCCTTTCACATGCAGTACACACTCACTCTCATGATAGAGCTTGTTGTAATTAATAGAGATATATTATATTCTTCTTATCTTCACGCACTCAGGGATATTTTGTTTCATAACTCATCCCAATATAATCCACAAATAGAATATATCATATTGTGTTGGATGGTAAAAAATCAAACCCAAGATCTATTTTGGACAAGTGAGGTTAGAAGGACCGTAGTCGGCAACCAAGGTCGAAAGGACTATAGTCGGCCGACTAATGTTGAAGGGATCATAGTGGTGGCGAATGTTAGAGGATAATAGTCGGGCGATAGTGTCTAAAAATTATGATTGGTGGGCGATGGTGGTCAAAAGAACTATAATGGGTGACATAGACTTACGGTCCATAATCAGTAATGGGTCATGAAGATCAAAAGGACTGTAGTCATGCGACTGAGATTGAAGGGATAGCAGTTGGGTGACTGATATCAAAGGGACCGTAGGGCGATGGTGGTCTGAAGATCTTGATCGGCGAGCGATTGTGGTATAGCTGAGGCTCGATTGTGCTGGCTTGATGGATGTTTGATGGCGATGGTCAGGCAAAGGTACAGAGGCGATTGATGATCGACAGGTCCAGCGATGGACTGGCGATCGAGCGGAGGTCAAGAGATGGTCAGGTGTCTGGACGAAGGTTTGGCAACAATCAATGGCTACGTTAAAGTCCGACGGCGGTCAGGCTGCCATGCAGATGTCAAGTGGTTATCTCCGACTAGCTGACGGATGTCAAAAGGATGTGGCCGAATGGAAGTCCAATAGTAATGGTTGGACTGAGGATCAAAAATAGCGACCAGGTGGTGAATGTTTGCGAGAGATTGTGCGGGGGTGGCGCTATAAATTTTCCAAGCCTTAATAGACTCTCTTGACCAAGGCCCAAGCCTTCATCTTCCAAGGTACCCTTGAAGTAGATAGTGATGGTCTATTTATAGATTTTGAGAGTGACATACTTCATAAATATGGAGAAGATCCAGAGCAAATTGGAAAGCTCCATCTGATGACTCATGATGATTCCCCTAATCAAAGATCGTTTGTTTTATATTTAAATATTGTAATGATGTCGAAATTGAATGATATTAGGCTTGTTTGATTCATCTTGTCGAGCCGCTAGATTCGACTAAAAGTATGCCAAATTTAGAGATTATTTGATTAAGCAATTAATCTTTTGAAGCTTTGATCCACTGATTTGAGCCCATTTGGGCACAGATTGGACTGATTTGTTTCGTTATGTTCGTCTCATTTAGGCGTTCAATTTGATCATAAGTTTGCTGAAATTTGAGTTTGGATGATCCCAATTTTAATTTTGGAAGTTTTTAATTCAGATATGTACGTACCAAGGTGCACGTTGAATTAAGACATTTTTTAGGTGACGTATCAAATAAAAATTGTATGTTTTTTATTAACTTATTTTTTATCATTTTAAAATAAAAAAATTAAATAATTATCTTTTAAATGTACCCATGCCAGTCTCATGCATGCACTATTTAAAAAATGAAACGAATAGTTGAAACATATAATTTATACCCAACAAGAAAAATTTCTAGCTCCCGTCCCTATCCATAAATAAACACTCTAATTGAGTAATTGTTATTCTTTAACTATTGATGCAAAAAAAAAAAATCTTCGATATTAGTTTAGTTTATAAGCATGTATCCATTTAAGTATTTCATAAATCTGTAAAAAGGACACGAGTCGTTTTGAAAGCAACCTATCGTCTTCTTCTCTCTCTCTCTCTCTCTCTCGCACTCTCCCTCAATTTGTTTTCTTCTGTTGGATTTTATTACTTCGCTTTTTTCCTCACGGGTTTCTTAGAAATAAGTAAAAGAAAAAACAATTATAAAATGACTACCTTATGACCGATCAATGCATCCAATAACGTTTGTGCCATGGAATCACCACTTCTCTCCATCCTTCTTCCTCCAATCTTCTCCACTCTCTTCCTAATTCTCCTCATAAAAAGGTTCGCCCTTCACAAAACCTATAATCCTACTATCTTCCTCCAGGCCCATGGAAGCTCCCCATCATCGAAAACTTGTACCAACTATTAGGCGAGCATCCACACCATAGGCTTCAAAACCTTGCCAAAGCCTACGGCCCTCTCCTCCACCTTAAGCTCGGTGAGATCAATCTTATTGTAATCACATCCAGAGAATTTGTTCGTGATATTTTCATAACTCATGACCTCAAATTTGCTTCAAAGCCTAAGTTAATGGCAGGCAAGATAATCTTTTACAACAATACTGACATTGGCCTGGCACCTTATGGCAAAACATGGTCAAAACTACGTAAAATATGTATTCTTGAATTGCTTACCTTAAAGCGAGTTACGTCCTTTAAGTTGATAAGAGAGGAAGATGGAAATAATCTTGTGGAGAAAACTAGGATGGAAGGGAGATCACCTATAAATTTGTCAGCGATGCTTTTATCCATTTCAAATGTGACAATTGCGAGGGCTGCATTTGGGAAGGGAAGTGCACAACAACAAATGTTTTTGTTGGCAATGAAGAAGACGTTTGAGTATCTCTCAGGATTCAATGTGGTTGATTTGTTTCCTTCTTGGAGTTTTCTTGGTGAGATTAGTGGATTGAGGCATGGGATGGAGCGAGTTCACATGGAAATGGATGTTATTTTAAATGAAATAATTGAGGAGCATGAAGGGAAGAAGTTGGATGGAAATGATACAAAGGAAGATTTGATTGATGTTCGATCTCTTGAGAATTAAGAGAACTAGAGAGATGGATTTATCTCTGACGATGAGAAATGTCAAAGGAGTCATACTAGTAAGTGCTTCATTGAAAAAATTATGTGTCGGAATATATGTATATTTGTATATATATGTATGTATGTATGTATATATATATATATATATCAACAAATGACTGATGGCTCGCCCTAAATTTTGCCTTATAAACGATTTTTGCATTGATTTTTTTTCTTTTAAAGGAATGGTTCAGCAGCTGAGCTGAGGTCTTGTTATCTATATATATATATATATATATATATATATATATATATTTCTGTCAAAATAAGTAAAAAAACAATTATAAAATGACCACCTTATGACCGATCAATGCATCCGATAAGGTTTGTGCCATGGAATCACCACTTCTCTCCATCCTTCTTCCTTTCATCCTATGCACTCTCCTCCTAATTCTCCTCATCAAAAAGCTCACCCTTCACCAAACCTCTAATCCTACTAACTTCCCTCCAGGCCCATGGAAGCTCCCCATCATCGGAAACTTGCACCAACTATTAGGCAAGCACCCACACCGAAGGCTTCATGACCTTGCCAAAAGCTATGGCCCTCTCCTCCACCTCAGGCTCGGTGAGATCAATCTTATTGTCATCACATCTAGTGAATTTGTTCGTGATATTTTCAAAACTCATGACCTCAAATTTGCTTCAAGGCCTAAGTTAATGGCAGGCAAGATAATCCTTTACAACTATGCTGATTTAGGCCTTGCACCTTATGGAAATACATGGTCAAAATTACGTAAAATTTGTACTGTTGAATTGTTTAGCTTAAAGCGAGTTATGTCTTTTAAGTATATAAGAGAGGAAGAAGGAAATAATCTTGTGGAGAAGATTATGACAGCGAAAAGATCACCTGTAAATTTGTCAGAGATGTTTTTATCGCTTACAAATGTTACAATTGCGAGGGCTGCATTTGGGAAAGGAAGTTCACAACAAAAGAGGTTTTTGTTGGCGATAAAGAAGATGTATGACTATTTTTCAGGTTTCAATGTGATTGATTTATTTCCTTCGTGGAGTTTTGTTGGTGAGATAAGTGGATTGAGGCATGGGATGGAGAAAGTTCACAAGGAAATGGATGGTATTTTGAATGAGATAATTGAGGAGCATGAGATGAAGAAGTCGGATGAAGATGATATCAATGAAGATTTGGTTGATGTTCTTTTGAGAATTAAGAGAAATGGAGAGATGGATTTATCTCTGACGATGGAAAATGTCAAAGCTGTCATATTAGTAAGTGCTACAATGAAAAATAAATCTATCAAAATATTATGATTTAAATTATGTTTTAGGATATGCCTGAAAGGTTATATATATATTGGCATCAATCTCAAAGAAAATCCAATATTTCTAAAGTATATCCGGATATAATTTACATTAAAATATCCTGCATGGTCAAAATTCTAAATTATGCTCATTAAATCTCTAAAATAGAGAAAGGAAATGCTTGATACACTTGTAAATTAAATAGATTTTAAAAAAGGATATGTTATTTAATTTAATCGCATAAAATTATGTATTAAGCCAACAAATAAACTGTAATTAAAAATGACAAATTTAAGAATTTAAATATAATGCTAATTTAAAAAAATAAATACTTTTTTGCTTTTTATTCACTTGATTCAATGCTCATTACTCATTCTTTGATTTCTTAACTCTTCCAATTAAACTCATCTTCTATTTTTATAATAAATGATATTCTGATTATCGGTCAATTATTTTGCATTATTTGATTTTAATCACATATAATTGTTATTTCTTCTAAACATTACTAGATATTAAAAAAAAAAAATACACAAATTATAAAAATAAGTGACTAAATATAATGTGTAAGCATAGCTCAAAATTGAGTTTCGTATTTAGCTAACTATTAATTTTATAATTTTTTCCTAGGATTTATTTCTTGCGGGATCGGACCCCTCATCTACTACACTTGTGTGGGCTATGACAGAGCTCATTCGACATCCTAAAGTTATGCAAAAAGCTCAATTAGAGGTGAGAAAAGCCTTAAATGGAAAGATAAGAATAGAAGAGGGAGACATGCATAAGCTTCCATATATAAATCAAGTTATCAAAGAAACTCTTAGATTACACCCTCCTGGCCCTCTCTTAGTGCCAAGATTATGTTGTGAGACAATTGAATTAGCTGGCTACACTATACCAGTTGAAAGTCGGGTTGTGATTAATGTATGGGCAATGATGAGAGATCCAAAGTATTGGGAAGATCCTGAGATTTTTCAACCAGAGAGATTTGAAGAAAAAGCAATCGATTTAAGTGTAACAAACTTTGAGTTTACCCCTTTTGGTGGAGGAAGGAGGATTTGTCCAGGGATGTCTTTTGCATTGGCAAGCATGGAGCTTTGGCTTGCACAACTACTATTCTACTTCGATTGGGAACTTCCGGGAGGTAGGAGTCCTCATGAATTGGATGTGGAGGAAGCTTTTGGTCTAACATTAACTAGAAAAAATGATTTATGTTTAGTTGCAACATATCATGCGTAGTTTATCCATGGTTACCTTTTTCTTTAATGAAGTCAATAAGCATTTCTATGTAAGGACATCTAGTTTTTTGTCAAACTATAGCTACTTTTATGAAATATACGAGTAATTAGTAAGTTGTTATATGACATAAAAAGTTTGATTTATTTGTGTTTTCTTATCAGAAGTGCATTAGACATTACATTGTGACTCTTTTTTTTTTAATATGAAGTATTACATTAAGTTTTTTATGCTCATATAGCATAAGAAAATTCATTACACCGAACATAAATTTTAATACAATATTGAGATCTCAAAGCACAAAAATATTCAAATGAAAAACTTTTGTATACAACTTTGAGGCCATCTAAGCTACATTTTTCGGCACACTTATAAACCGCAAAGATGACAAGATCCTAAAAGTAAGAAAAATGCATTATTTCAAAATTCAAATGGATGTAAATAATTAGGAAAGATATGTAATTTATATGCATCAGTCCAAAATAATTTATTACAATACTATCAACCCCTTTTTTACTTATTCGTATACAATGGCAGGAACTCAAAAATCTTATTTTTAATTTTAGTAGGATAAATTTATACAATTTAGCATAATAATTTTATGTTGGTTCGGCACTCAACTATATCACTTTATTATTTAATTTGACACATATACTTGCATAAATCAGTTGGATGTTATAAATTTTATATCAAAGAAACCTTAAGCATATTTCCAATTCAGCAAGCTTCAAACTAGCTCACCATTAACCTCATGTAACCTTGCCCCGATCAACATGGATAACACAAAAAAAGCAAACTCATATTCATTCCATTCATATGAAAAGATATATTAGAGAATTAATAAGGATAAATGTCACTAGAAAGAACCAATTAATATTATCTATAACCTTTCTTTATCTAATAATAGAATTGTTTACAAAAATACATGCTAATTTCTACAATTAAAAGTATATTGCCCTTCTCTAGCGTCCCTTATATTTTACTCTAAGGTATAACAAAAGAAATACACTCTAGAGTACAAGACTTGACTTAAAAATTTTTTTGTTTGTACATATATTTTTTTTTAATATAAAAATGATTACAAAAGAGGAAGCATGTGAGCTAAAATAAAACAAAAGAAAATGACAGATAAAACAAACAAAACAGGCAAAACAAAGGCTCAGTAATCGACCGAGTCACCCAGCGACCCTGAAGCCAAGCACGGACCGTCCAATAAAAGGTTGCCACCAGCAAAGAGACAGGGCCGCGAGTCCCGACCACATCATTGCCCATAGCCAGCGCACCAACGAATCAGACCTCCAAAAAAGCATAAGAACCCGAAGGAGAGCACAAAAGTGGAAGGGAAACAACATCATCGTCTACGATGGCCTCTCCCCCAAAATTTTCCCCGAGATACAACATTGACAGTAGGTTTAGGACAAACCACCGAGAAATCATTGCCAGGGTCAGATCCCCTACAGAAATCCGGAGAATCCAAACCACCTTCAGAAAATTCTAATTCCGATTCACCATCGGACGAAACATTCAACCAATTAAGTTGATTCCGTAAATCCAAACCAGACGAATCACCCAAACAGTTAGCTATATCTTGCGAATTGATCAAATTTACAGGAACCTCAATAAGCCTGTCGACACACGAGATACCCTCCTCTCTGCACTCAGACGAAGGAGGCTCGGCCGCAATCAAAATAGGACTCAACGCCACAGACGAGTTAACATCATCAGAAAAATTAAATTCTCCGTAGAGATAGGCGCCAAAATCACATTTCGAACAGAAGCTAAAGCAGAAGGAAGAAAGGGAGTAGCATTAGAAGATAAAACAGCCGTAACAGCATCAGAAGGACTTCCGTCAGCACCTATCACCCCATCAGTTGCAGGTTCAGTAAAAACATCCTGAACTAAAGTAATCGGAACCGAATCTACAATTGTAGAGGGAGTTTCTGTAATTATGGGAATAGTAGCACATTCCATATCAGCATTAGAATTAATGCAATTATGCACAGAAACACCAAGATCAACCTCAACATTCACATCCTCCAACGATACAGGAATCCCCTTCTCAACAGGGGATAAAGCCGGAGTTACATTAGCAGGGGAATTAACGGAAAATTAACCCAACATCCGCCTTGTCACACTCCAAAGTCTTATTAGAAACCACATTATCGCCACTACCAACTTCTAAAACAGTAGAAGGAGGAGGGAGAAAATTTTGATTGCCGGGCATAGCGGGACGACAGTTTTCGATAGAGTGACCAATACATTTACATCCGGAACAGAAGTGAGGGAAATCCTCAAAAATAACCTCTTGAGTATAGCCAAGCGATTTCGATCCTAACCAAACTAGCTTAGGATAGGATTTTGTAATATCTAATTCAACTAGCACACGGGCAATAGAAGGACGGGTCCCAACAGCCGTAGCTTCGTCAATTTTTAGCGGTTTCCCAAACAATCCTCCAAGACCAGCTAGAATACGAGGTGAAAAGAAATGTGGGCGAAGACGAGGAAAAGAGACCCAGACAGGTATCACCGACGATTCAACACCAATGTCCAACGTCGGCGACCACTTATTCAGTTTCATAAAGCAATTAAAAACAAGGTAAGAGCGGTGACAGAAAACTCTACAGTAATCTAGATCATTAGATAACTTGATCAGAATATGAGAATGGTCTAAAATCGTGACAGAGACTTCACTTTTCAACTTCAAATTGAAGAAAAACTTGCGAATAGATTCTAGAGTCGGCCTTTTAGATGGAAAAAAGCCAACAAGAGAGAACTGAAAAGGAGCAGCAAGCTCCTGAATTTCCAAATCCGAAACCTATAACGACGGTAAGCCACGAAACGTGGAAACATGCAAATCCGGAAAAGATGACTTAGGACCAGCAAGAGCTTCAAGAAACGATCGGGAATGAGAAACCCCCCAAAAAAATCCGGGGTCTTTCAGCTTAATAGCACCCATGCCAGCACAGCCGGCAAAGACAAGAAAAAAAAACCAGCAAAAAAATTATACCAAATAAGTAGAGAAGAAGAGAACTCCCCAGAACGCGCGGTCGCTGGAAGAGAAGCCCCCACCGGGCGGGGAAAACGCCCGAAGCCACCAAACCCTAGCAGAGCGGCTAGGGCAGAGCAGATTGATAAGCTATATTCACAAGGATTTTCTTTGAAGACTTGACTTAAAATGATAAAACTCTAACAGCAATAACTCCCTCTAAAATACTATAAAACTATTTATAACAAGTATAAAAATGGCCTTAGTATTCTGATACTAGGAGTATGGGCAATACATTATTATATAATGAAATAGCATCTTAGCACGTCAGGCTTGCACCACTGCGGTGTTGTGCTGACCTTGCAGAATTAACAATTGAATCAACAATCCATTTAGCTAAGTCAATTTTGCTCCTCAATTTAATAACTACTCCACCGTGGCTTTGTAAAATTTTTATGCTGTGTTGCTTGAAAGTACAATCCAACCATTGGTGCTCATGGCGCAAATTTCTAATGTTAGGGCACTAACCTTGGATCCATCGGCCACTATTTTTTTGCTTTAATTCTCGAGCGATCGGTGTTGTAATGTCTAAATAAGGTGTCGAGGTGTTGTAGATGACAATGTTGCGGTGTGGAATATGTAGGCATTGTGGTGCTCGCAGTGCTCGTTTAACACGTTTAAATTTTTTCTTATCCTAAGTATTGCTACACAAATAGAACTAAAACAAAATATTTTTATTAAATTTTAGCACAATAAATAATACACAATATACATGCAACATCGGGTGACATAGGTCAGAAGGAGCTTGAGGTCATAAAGACCATAGTCTGGTGATTGATTTCAAAATGCATGTTGTTAGACAACGGTGGTCTAAAGATCATGATTGATGGGAATTAGAGGCCATAAAGATCATAGTCGAACAACTGAGGTTAGAAGGATTTTTATCGGGAAACAAAGATTGAGTGACTATAGTCGGATTATTAATGTCGAAGGGATTATAGTCAGGTGACGGATGTTAGAGGGAACATAGTCAAGGAATAGTGGTCCAAAGACTATAGTTAGTGTTTGATAGAGGTCGATATGATTGTAGTTATTGGGTCACAATGGTTGGAAGGACTATAGTCATGTGACTGAGGTTAGAGGGGTCGTAGTCGGGTGACTGATGTCAGAGGGATCGTAGTATAGCGATGGTGGTTTGAATATCTTGATCAACGGGCTGGCAACTATGGTCTGGTTGAGGCCTAACGGTGGTGGCAAGATGGAGTCTTGAAGGCGATAGTTGGGGAAAATTTTATAGATGGTTGACTGTGAATTGTTCGGGCGGTGGTCCAACGGTGATAGATGGCCAGGTAGAGATTTGATGACAAGCGGCTGGAATAATGTCAGGTGGTTATCTACAATCGAAAGAATGCCTAATGGTGGTGGTCGAATGGAGGTTCGTGATGATGGTTGTGCTAAGGTCTAGCAGAAGCAGCCGGGCAATGAGGGTTCACTAGAGATTGTGACAGAGTGGAGAGCTAAGATTTTTTAAGACTTAGTGCTCTCTTTATTCCAAACATAGATTCAAGGATTATAATTTTCATGATAGCAAACATTTTTGGCACTTCTGTTTCTGTACTATTATCCTAACTACTACATTTCAGATCCACAAGGTCAATTGTAAATCAAGTCAACTCAAGATTGGGTAGATTAGGACTAAGTCAGTATGTAAGTGTACATATAGTATTTTTATCTTTTCTTGAGTTAAATGTAATAAAGTGAATTCTGATGCTAAGTAACCTTACACACACACACTCAAGGGGAGAATTTCTTAAGTTTAAGAGTTTTCTATTTTTGATTAAATTATACATGACGATCCAAGATCATCCTGTATGATCAGTTAAAAATAGAAACTTTAATTAGTGCTCTTATATTAAGATAGACAAATTAAGCAAATTATTATGGACAATATTTACATCGTTCTGGATGATAAGCTCAAATTAAAAAATCACTACCACCAATCTCATTTAGGCAAGATTTTATTTTAAGAATTTTGTTCTAATCTTACAAGACGGTCTCATATCATCTTAGATGATTCATTATAATCATGCCTAAATTAGTCAAGTGATTAAGGA